AAAGCTTTTCAGGCGGTCGCGCACCGGACGAGAAGCGCAGCGTTGCGTCGCGTCACATCGCGTCACATCTTTAAAATTCAAATACATTATTATCCATGAGTGTAGGCACACCGTCGGCGCCGTTCGGCGTCTGTCCGCGGCGCCCAGCTATATTATATAAAAAAAGAAAAATTGTAATATAAATAGCAATTAGAAATTCGATTAATTGTGCAGCCCTAGGGTGAGTAAATCATTGGGCTATTTTCATTTTTGGGTGAACTATGCCTTTAATATGCTGTCTATGCTCTGTATCAGCTTTGTCTAAATGTATATGTGTGTGTTCATATAGAGTGAGCTGCATAAGAACTGCTCTCATGTGATGGAGGCGTCTACAGAGAGCAGCAGCAGTCAGCAGCCTGTACTCCACCCAGAACTAGACTGCAGCTGGAAACCTTTCGGTAAGATTTAGATCTTATACTATATTATATTTATAGCAGTATGTGTTTCTGTCACTTTCAGCCAGTGCATTAAATATTTGGCATCTCTGTTTTTCTGTCCCTATAGACAGAAATAACTATAAGCAGCTGCTTGGAGCAATGGATTACTCTTTCCTGTGTGCTTACGCCATAGGCATGTATCTCAGGTAAGAACAGATACAAAACACTTAAATATTGATGGATTTGCACTAAAATGGCTTAAAAAGTGGAGGGATTTTCAGAAATCTAGAAATGAAAATTCTGTCATTTACTCGCCAATTAATGTCATTCCAAACCCATAAAACACAAATGAAAATATTTTAATGAACCCTGAGAGATGTCTGTTCCACCAAAGCATTCAGTATGTTTACATGGACAAAAATATTCAGATTTTAACATGATTAAGACAATACTCTGATTAAGAATCTACCATGTAAACAGATTTTTGATTACCTTAATCCGGCTAAAGTCATACTTGAAGTATACAGAAATCGAATTAAGACATGTGGAGTATTCCTAGTTTAGTTGCATTACTGAAGTGCAGTATAGACATGCACACCCCTTAATT